TTCAATCATTCTGCCTCACCTGCTATCCTCTTCTGCTTCATTTTTTGAAAGACTTTTACAATAATTCTCTGCTAAGTCATATATTTTTCAAAGTCATTCTCTAATATAGCATTCTGTTTAACCCCATCTCTTAAAAAGGAGTCATTCTTTCATCTAACTTTATTTAGCATCATATTTTAAAAGATGCTATTTTCTCATGATAGTCTCTTTAGCCCAGATTTTTTAACATGAAAATCAATTAAATCTTTTTATTTTAAAGAAAGTGTGACACCATAATCTAAAGACACATTGGAAAGATGCCTTCCAAAACCTAAGCAAAATATTAAGAAACAGAAAAATTTCATTAGAAACAAAGAGTTCTGAACTGTTATGTAATGTCAGTTCTCCTATATGACAGTGAATGCTGACCAATCTCCTCACAGATGAAGAAGAGTCTTGCAACAACAGAAATGTGGTTCTACAGAAGGATACTGAGAATACCATAAACAGAACATGTAAGCAATGACAAAGTTTTAGAGAAAATGTAAACAAAATGGACACTTATACTTAACATGAGAAAGACATAGTTGAAATAGTTGTTATAATGCAAAGTTTTCACAGTGATAAAATCAGTCAGTAATTATTTATAACTATTTATACGGGTACTCATGCATGCAATTACAAGTAATTTATAATAGTATTTGAAATTTTGAAATTTTATTTATTTTTGGAATATCAATTTTTTAAAACTGTATATAAATCTTTGATTTTCTTTCGATCATTCCGCCTCACCTGCTATCCTCTTCCGCTGCACCTGTGAGGCGCGACGCACCGTTTGGGATTCACTGCCTTAGGAGTTAGCTACTGCGCGCCTCTCTTCATGAGTAGGAGTAGTGATGATGGTGGCATCATGGCTGGTTTTTTTTTTTTAAGTTTAAAGGATGAGGCAACAATGTCGACTTGGGAGATACATCTAGATTTTCGGTATACTCTCAGTCGGATATCTTCTGAGAAGACAGGGTGCCCTGATTTGAAAATGCTGTTGTGACCCACCTGCAAGTTTATGCACCGCTTTTCTCAAAAGCTCTCAACCTATTACGCACATGCAGAGGTGATGCGCGTTTCTCGTATACCCTTATCAGATAAATGTCATGAAGGGTATATTGGATTCCGTATCTTTGTAACCCTCCCTAATTTTATGGAATTCTGCTCTCTCTCTCTCTCTTTCTCACTCTTTCTCTCTCTCTCTCTCTCTCTCTCTCTCTCGCTCGCCCAATAATAATAATAATAATAATAATCGACCAGGCAGCATGATTGGAGACCACAAAAACAAAATGTCCCTTCTTATTGACCTGGTAGTCCATGCGGACTGTAATGTCTCGCTGAAGGTTTTCAAAAGACTATCAAAATACAGGGATCTTGAAATTGAAATCTCAAAAATTTGGCACATGAAGACATCAACAATTCCAATTGTAGTTGGAGCCCTCGGACTGATTTTTAAATTTCCGATAGATTCAGTAAAGGGATTCCTGCTAGCCCAAGACTTAAAGAAATATAAAAAAAAAATGGTGCTCACAAGTACAGTACACACATTACGAATTATGTAAAATGTGTATGATCTTAGGTCATGATCCTATTTCTGACCTGATGTCACTGCCCCAGAAAAGAAATGAGTATTCATCAGAAATCAAAGGAATAATAATAATGATAAAACAAGTTCAAACTAGAGTTTCAAATGGGCGCAGAAATACAAGTAAAGCACAATACATCGACCGAGGCTGCAAAATATTTAAAAAAGAAGGCAAAGACAAATACAACCGACCAGATAGAGAAACAATGGCAAGATAAACCGCTCTATGGCCAATACTCTGTCCGTACCAAACAAGCTGACGTAGACAAAACCCGTACACGTCAGTGGCTACGTAGTGCAGGGTTGAAAGCTGAAACGGAAGGTTTTATCGTTGCTGCGCAGGACCAATGCTTGTTAACTAGGAATTATCAAGCACATATACTAAAATATAGTGTTAGCCCAAAATGTAGATTCTGTGATAAATATCCAGAAATAATTGATGATCTTGTAATCAGGTTGCACGGTATTGGCACCCACTAAATATAAAACCCGACTTACGGAGATAGGACCTGTTACAATTTTATGGGACTACACAATACACACAGAGGGAACAATCAAAGCTAACCGCCCAGACATTGTTATGTGGCACCATTTACCAAGGCAAAAAAGAAAAGAAAGGAAAGAGAGGAAGGAAAGAAAGGAAAAGAGAGGCGAGACCCAAACGTGGGTGATAAGTAGGACACCCACGACTATGGATAAAGGATATTTTGATAAGTAGCAAATGGCAAAAACTGTCATTACAATGGCAGAAAAATTCTAAGTGGATAAAGGAATCGTTGTGTTCTGGCGACGAGCTGTGTTATCGGGGATACATAAACAAACCGCTAATGCGGGAAAACATCTGATTAAGCAAACCACAGACCGACTAGCCAAAGAAAAATCCAATTGAAAATGTTATTTTGATAATTGACAAAAAACAGGTGAACTACAGGGCTTTGGATAGATATGAAAAATTAATTGTGTCAAAGCCGCACA